CTGTTGAGGATGCCGTTTGAGTCGTGACAACCCTGGGGTTTCTAGTGTATGCTGTGGCAGGCACGCTCCCTGTCCCTGTGTCATGGATGCCTGTCAGCAGGCGTACCGGCCAAACCCAGTGCGGCTGGGTCTTGAGGGAGGGAGCCTCGCTGCGGCCCTCGGCGAGCGTGCAAGCCGCTGCTGAACCTGGTCGGCCCTCCTGCTCTGCCAGTCCTTCATCCTCTAATTTGGCGATCGCCTCGCGCACCATTCTTTCTTTCTGGGCGTGAAGGCACATTCCTCCATCATACACAGCACCACCCTCCCCCCGCCCTCCTCGAAAACACCGCAGGTGGCATTCACGCGCTTCGACCGCCAGGACATCGCCCGCGCGATGGAGGCGGCGCGAGAGGGGCGGGCCCCCTCCCGCAATGCCGGGGGCCACCGGGATCAGAGCGCCAACTCCCGCGCGCTGCACTCCGTCTTCTCTGGCGGCGTGCTCTACGTGCACCTGGACCATGGCACTGACCTGGCCTCCGAGGGGCTGGAGGGCTACACCAAGAACATGCGCTGCCGGTTGACGGTGGGTTCCCACAGCCGCGAGACGGAGTGCAGCCGGAGCAAGCTGCTCAACCGGCGCAACCCCGTGTTCGACCAGAAGCTGGAGCTGATCCTGGACGGCGACGAGGCGGCGGAGCAGGACGCGGTGGTCCGGGTGGACCTCTATACTGTGCACCTCATTTTGAAGCCCACCTACAAGGTGGGTTGATGGAGTGTCGGGGTGCTCCAGGGGAGGGGGGGCTGTTGTGTGGGTGAGGGAGGCAGGGGTTGTGGGTGTGGCAATCTCTGGGTGGCACGATCCAGTAAATTCTTAGAACAGAGCCTTGCTCTTTGGGTTGCTACCCGGCTCGTCCTTGCGGCATCGTCTGCATTGCCAAGCCCGCATCTTCTCTCACAAACACAACACCACACCATCGCAGGGCCACGTCGCCGTGCCGCTGCAAGAGGTCGTGAGCCGCCGGCGGGTGACGGGCACGTGGCCGCTGCAGGGGGTCTCCAGCGGACAGCTGAGCATGAACCTCACCTGGGTCAACACCCTGGAGCAGGGACCCTGACAGGGGCTGCAGTAAGCGCAGTGCCGTGTCGAACGAAAATAGATTGGAGGCGCTGCAAAGCCTGCTTGAGAACTGGTATGAATCTCGCAACCGTGTCGTCTCTCTCCTGAAGTATCGTCTCCTAGGATTGAAGTTGTACAAATCCACTTGCGGCTTTTGTATTTGTATGCTGACAGGCCTGGTGCCACGCGCATCAGCCTGGGGTGGTCTGCGTTTAAAAGGTACTGCCACCGACACGTGGACAAGGGCATGGGCCATGCGCATATGCAAAGCACAGCATGCCTGAGCAGGAGGCCACATGCAGGCCATGCCTGGCTCAACACCTCACGTATCCCGCTCCTGCGTGAGCTTGTCGAGGTCAAACACCTCCCAGCGCGAGGCGGGGAAGATGTGCTTGTTCTTGGTGTACCAGTGCCGGTCCACCACCTTGCCCGCATGGGAGTCCTGGGACTTGACCCTGGGGTCAAAGGCCGCCACCGCGTGCTCCACCAGGTCGAATTGGAAGAGGGGGCCGGACTTGCCGCGCACCTTGTTCAAGATGAGATCGTAGAAGGAGGTGGTGTGAGGGAGGATGATGTCCTCCTTGACGTACATCAGGTTGCTCACCGATGTCGTCCTGCGAAACGGCGGAGCGGCATGCATCACATGTCATTAAAAGATGGTTGGGTTTGAAAACAGGGAGGCATCATGCGGGGAGGCAGGTCGTTGGAGGGCAGAGGGATTTCAACGATGCAAGCACCCAGGCAGCTCCAGGCAAGTCTCCCATGCACATGCTGGGTGGAAGGAACCACACCGCTGCCAGCCTCGTTGGATCCCACCCCACGCCACATTTTCCTCACCTCATCTCCCGGAACTCCTGGGCCAGCTGCTCATGCACGGCCTTCAGGAACTGGCCGATGGTGGACCCCTTTTTCACCGTCACGCTCCTGCGGTGCCCTGTGCCGTTATAGTAGCTGTAGGTGATGTCCAGTGGCTCGGCGCGAATGGCCTCCTGTTTTAAAAGGGGCGAGTGGGAAGGGGGGTGCTGGGAAGAGACATAGAGTCGTCGTCCAGGTGTCGCAGCGTCTCAGAGAGCCCCAGCGGCGACGCGCCCACCCCTGCCACATCACCATGTCCGACCTGCTTCTCTTCCCACTCCTGTTTGAGCTGCTCCCGCAATTCTTGCTCCTCGCGGTCCCGATCCTTGTCGGGAAGAAAGTCGGACCGGACGGTCGGATCCTTGCCCAGAGTCGCAAAGCGTCGCCTCGTGGGCCCCTGGGCTGGGGCCGCAGCGGCGCCTGGGGTACCGTTGCTGTCATTGGCTGCCTGGTGGTAGGTGCATGTGTGGCGGCCAGGGGAGGTTGATTGGCAGCAGCAGCCAGGGGGCGGCCTCGGCCACCACACTCATGCCCACACTGAGACCAACAATCATGCAAAGCCTCTAGACAGGCATTCTCCGCTCATGGCATCGGCAATTCTTGCATTGGGCCATTCCTCTGCATTACCCTCCTCACATCCCTTCACCACTCACCGATGTGCTTGGGGCGTGACCCGACACCCCATCCCTCCCTCCATCCGACCCCTCAGGCTCCTCCTCATCCTCAGCAAAGGACAGCTTATGTTTCTGTTCCTTCTTGGCCTTGACAGCCTTTTGTCGCTCTTTCTCCTGCATGCGCCATTATTTTTGGTGGTGAGCTTCAGGTCTGAGCCTCCAGTTCATGCTCGACGTTTTGGAAACCTCCTGTCCATGCAGGAAGCACAGCACATGATCCCTCCAACAGACCTGCCACTCAGCCTCCTCCTCTGCAGCTCGTTGCCTTTTCTTCTCTTCCTGCAGTCGATCTCCAATTGTAGCTCTCTTCTCGACAAACTCTTGTCGTGTGAACAGTCCCACCGTCTCGTTCTTGAATGCTGTCTCCAGTGTCTGTGGAGGGTGGGACGGTGTAAGGGTTCGCAGGCGGCAGCATGCCTCGCTTCTTGAATGTCTATCGAAGCTTATACTGACAGCACATTCCTCCTCCTAACAATCGATCTCGAGAGCGCCGTACCTCTGTAGTCCCTGCCCCAAACTTCCTCAGACCGGCACCCTCCTCTGCCTTGCGCTTGGCCTCCTCGAACTTCTGCTTGGCCTCCTCCCTTTCCTTCTCCTGCCGTGTGATGCGGGCCTTGTCATGGGTGTTGCCTACATAACCCCCCATGCCATACCCCGCCATCGCGGAAGGTGGGTGGGGGTGCGTGCAGCAGTGGTAGTAGGCTGACTTGTGCCTCGCGGACGGAGTGTGATGGGATGTCGAAGTGGTGCATGTATGGGGGTTGATAGCATCTGCAAATGAAACCGTATCGCCTGGTGTACCAGACCTGGAGATGGACGAGATCGGTGAAGTGCGTCGTCCACGTCAGGGCGCGAAGTTCGTTCGAAACCCCTACCCACTCAAAGGAGTCCGTGCGGCCCTGCACAGCTTGTCTGCCACAGTACTATAACATTTGAGGAATCTCCGTACAGGCCAGACCCTGCGCCTTTCAAGAGATCCAGGTGCCATCGATCGAGCGCATCGAAGAGGAGGCCGACACCAGCACGGGATGGCTGGGGCGCACAGCGGCCCCACCGGCCCTGTGAGCCTGCTGTTTACCCCAACCTCTCTGAAGACAGGGGATGGATCCAGGACCCCCGATCTACGTGGCGGCCTGCGCTCACCTCGAGCCTCGGGGTCCCTGTTTGGGCAGCAGGCCAGCCGGGGCCCCAGGTGGGACGCCACCCCCGCCCAAACACGCCGGCGCTCCCTCACCCCTTCCAGCAGCGGCCTGGCACGGGAAACCCCGCCCCCACCCCCCACCAGCAGCCTGATGGACGAGAGCCCCGGCGGCGGTGAGGCAGGGACCGGCCCAGCTCCCATGGACACCTGCTCGCCCGGCCGGGCAGACGCCGACGCCGGCGCCCTGCGCCCCGCCCCTCAGCCTGCCCCCTACGCCGGCTGCTGGGTCACAACCTTCGGGTTTGGGCCTGAGGACCTACCTGACGTGCTCCGAGAGCTGGGGCGGTGCGGGGACCTGCTGCACTGGGGCACCTACGGCGACGGGCAGGGCGTGAACTGGCTCCACATGAAGTTCGCGGTGAGGTGCTGGGTTGTGGACGGCGGGATCGATGGCAATGGGAATGGGCTGTGCGTCCCACCTCTGTCCTGTATCTGGGGCCACAGCATGAGCCTTCACCCCACCTTTCCCCTCGCAGACGCCGCAAGGCGCACAGCGGGCCCTGCTGCGGGACGGCAGCCAGGTGTCGTCCTCCGTCATCGTCGGGGTCCGGGCCGTGGATGCCAGCCGGCAGGCCGAGCTGGATGAGGCCGCGGAGGGGAGGGCCGGGCGAGAAGCCGCCGCGACAGGGAGACCTGCAGTGACCAGGAAGTCCCTCGCCCCGACGCAGTATGTGGCGCCTGCCCCTGTGCACCCCCTGCCGGTCCGCAGCCCCTGGACCAAGTTGTATGAGGCGGTGTGGGGACTGTGAGGTTCCACTGGACGCGTGGGTTTGTATTCAATGTTTCACGGTCGTCCGTCTGCAAGAATAGGAGTACGACAGCGCAGCTGGGAGCAAGTGGGTAGGTGCATTCAAGGGATGCTGGAGGGGGTGGAAATGCTGGCGCCAGGGGGAAGCCCAGGACATCGCTGCAACGACAACAGCATGGCCGCCTCACACCGGGAGCACCCCTGCGAGGAAGGGTGGGGAGTGCGACTGACGCCTCCACTGGACAGGGACATTGGGTGCGTCCCAGATGGTCATTGGCGACAGCGCAGCGGGAGGATGTCAAGGAGTCGGACACAGCCGAGCAAACCCGACCTGTGTCCGCAGGGGGCCGCAGCGTGCCAACTCCCTCCCAGGGATCCGGGCGCAGCGTCGACGGGGCCCAGGGTCATGTCGGCTTTCAAGGATCCTCACTCCATGTCCGACCCTAGCATGTGTGGACGTACGGCACCGGGCTGGAGACGCCAGGTATGGCGCATCACCGCCGCACATCCCTGCACCTTCCCGCTGGCGAGATCCTCTACATCTTCAGGTACCAGTAGAGCAGGACCACCACGAGTAGCGTGGCCGCCATGCCGCCGTAGGCCAGCAGCTTGTCCATGCGGTGCCGCCGGTCTGCCATTCGGAGCAGTGAATCGGACAGGCCCACGCTGTTGATGACGTCCAGGAGCCGGCGCTGGGCCGACTAGATGTGGGAAGGGGGTCCAGGGTGGGGAAGGGAGTCGATTCCTGTAGTGCTGGACCCAGGCGCAGCGCTGGGGCTGGATGCATGAAGGAGGCTCCCCAGTTCAGTTCGCCCCCCCCCCCCTACCATACAAAATCCGCCCTCTCACCTTGAGAGTTTCGCGCTGGCTGGACATGGAGCCCAGCACCCCCACCCCCGTGGCGTAGGCCTCTTCCAGCACACGCTTGCTGCTTGCCAGGTGGCGCCGCGCCGCGGTGTCCATGTCAGCCAGCACCTGCCCCGAGGAGGAGGCGCCTTGGAAGAGCTCGGCGCGCTGCGTCGCCTCGGCCTGCCTTGCCTGGCTGGCCTCGCAGCAGCGGCGGAGGGCGAGGCCCAAGGAAGCCGCCTCGTCCACCACCGCCTCCACCTTGCGCTTCCAGACCTCGCGCCGCGCAGGGGGATCGCGCAGACCCTGCATGCGCCACTGCGACTCCAGGTCCTGCGCCAGGCGCTGTGTATGCACAGGCGGGTGGACTGAGCTCCAGGGAAGTGGCGCTATGCCACGTGGTGTAGAAGGGGTCATGTGACAGGAAATAAGCCATACGCTATCCCTAAGAACACATGCCAACCTGCAGTTGATCCAATTGTCGCTCTAGGTCTTTGACCTGCCCATCGAGTGGGATGGCACGGCCATTCTGGAGGGTACGGGGGTGGGGTGGTTGAGGACCAAGACCCCGTAGTGAGATAATACCGGCGTGACCATGCCAAACGCCTCACTCTTACATGCAGGGAGAGTTCCAGGCGCTCGATCCCTGTTCGCAGGGACAGGATCAGCTTCAGGGCTTGTGTGTGCGTGTTCTGCAGGTCTGCCATCGCAGGCAGGAGAAGGTCCAGGCAGGCTGGGGAGAGACGCTCCCGACGTTACACCCAATTATACATTCTTCAAGCTAACAATATGTCAACAACAACACCAGATCGCGACGTCAATCTCATGCAAGCCATCTATGGTGGCGATCATCAACCTCCTTCGCTGTCATATGTGTTTGAGCGCGCCCTAGTGAAAGATGCCAACCCGGTATCAATTTCACAACTCGTCGGTGAGCAATCCTTCACTCCAGAAGCAACCTCAAGGCAATAGAACGCCACCATGACGACTGTGGAGGAAGCGAAGCACCTCATATGCGACCTGTGCGGGGTCATGTATGCCGGGGGCCATGTGAGCGGCACCGGTGGTGGCATCAGCATCAAGGCGGGGGACGCCCTGGTCATGGCGCCCTCTGGTGTGCAGAAGGAGCGCATGCGGCCGGAGGACATGTTCGTGCTGGACCTGAAGGGTAATGTGACGCACACCCCTGAGCCACGAGGGCCCCCCTACAAACCTCCCAAGCTGAGCGAGTGCGCTCCCCTCTTCCAGTCGGTAAGGGTGAGGTTGACTCTTTGAGTGTACAGATTGAGTCACATGTGGTTGTAGAGATGGCTGGGGGTGGTGCTCTCGCTGGGTTCAGGAGTGTCATTCGCCTTTCGGTCATGGTGTGCATGGCGTGTCGGCTCTGTAAGCGATCCTGGGCTCCCTACCCTCCCCAACCCAGGCGTACGACCTGGCAGGAGCGGGGGCGGTGCTGCACAGCCACAGCATCAATGCCCTGCTGGCCACAGTCCTCGACCCCGACAGCTCCGAGTTCCGCGTGACCGAGCTGGAGATGATCAAGGTGGGGAGAGACGGCGTGTGTGCGTGTGCGTCCCTTGGGGTAAGCACCTTGACATCAGCTCACAGCCACACGGGGAGCGCTGCTTGCCGCAAACATCTGATTCTTGCAGTGTCTCGTTCAGACCCCTCTGGTCTCATGCCTCAGAGAGCTATGTATTCTTTCTCCCCCCCCAACATAATCCAAACAGGGCATTGAGGGCCACGGCTTCTTCGACACCCTGGTGGTGCCCATCATAGAGAACACGGCGCGGGAGTGCGAGCTGACGGAGCGGCTGCAGGCCGCCATCCGCGCCTACCCCCGCACCCGCGCAGTGCTGGTCCGCCGCCACGGCGTCTATGTCTGGGGTCGCGACTGGATCCAGGCCAAGACGCAGGCCGAGTGCTACGAGTACCTGTTCGAGGCCGCCGTGCGCCTGCGCCAGCTGGGCCTCGACGCCAGCCGGCCTGCCGTGGGGGTCGAAGACGCGGGGCGTCCCGGTGCCGCGCCGCTCGATGTGTCCGCGCCGGGGCCAAAGCGTGCAGCGCGTGGCGTGCCCCCCGCTGTGGTGCTGGACATCGAGGGCACCGTGGCGCCCATCTCCTATGTCACCGCCACCCTGTTCCCCTATGCGCGTGTGCGGCTGAGGAGCCATCTGGAGGCCAGCTGGGGCACGCCCGCGACTCAGGCCGTGGTGCAGCAGCTGCGGCAGCAGGTGCGTTTGGCTGTGTGGGATGTATTATTTGGAGGGCCTGGCTTGAGGGTTTCAGCTCATGTCCTGTTGGGCATGGCAGGCGGTAGCGCCTGTGGCCACGCAGGCTCGTGGGTGGTTGAGCGGGGTCGGCGATCCACCTGCCGCAACAGCCTAGGCAATGTATCACCGGGGCCTCCCTCCCCACCTGCCCAGGTCAACGGGTCGGCCATCCCCGGCCTGGCGCCCGCCGCCCGGGAGGGCGACGCGGCCGAGGAGGTCGCGGCGGTGGCGGCGTGGGCGGCCGCGGAGATGGATGCGGACCGGAAGACGCCGGCGCTCAAGACCCTGCAAGGCCACATCTGGACCGAGGGGTTTGCGACGGGGGAGCTGACGTGCCCGCTCTTCCCAGACGTCGCACCGGCCCTCCGCCGCTGGGCGGGCGCCGGGATCAAGCTCTACATCTACTCCTCGGGCTCCAGGTGGGTTCAGGGTGGTGAGGATGGTCCCAGTGCGGGTGGGTGGCGGCTTCAAGAGGGCGACAGGCTTCCAGAGGACACCTGCCGTCCATGTGGCATGCGTCGGAAGGGAGCCTGGAGGAGGGAGCAGGCCTGCATCAGCCGCCTCACCCAATCTTTCCCCTTGCCAGGCAAGCCCAGCGAGACTTGTTCGGGCACACCGCTGATGGTGACCTGCGCCCCCTCCTCTCCGGCTTCTTCGACACCTCCAGCGGCGCCAAGGTGGGGAGGTGCTGGGCCCGGGTCTGGCTCGTGTGGGTAAAGGTCGAGCACGGTTGTGTGGCGCTGCTCTGCACATGGCACATTCTACCAGACCACCCTCCACATCCATCCCTACCACATGCAGGTTGAGGCGGCGTCGTACGAGAACATCGCCCTGAGCCTGGGGGTGGACTCGGCGGACGAGGTGCTCTTTGCCACCGACAGCCTGGCAGAGGCACGCGCGGCGGGCGCTGCTGGGTGGAGGGTGGCGCTGACGCTGCGGCCCGGGAACGCCCCTGTCAGCAAGGAGGACGGCGCCTGCCTCCTGCGCATCGCCTCTCTCGCAGACCTCGAATTTTGAGCCCCGCATCGCGGACCAGGCATTGTGTGCATGAGGCTGCACTGTTCTTGCGTTGTAGAAGCCTATCATTTGATTGGCCAATGGGTGGACGGACGGCACCGCTCTGAGTCACCTGCTGGTTGTGTTTGGTGTTGCCAGGTGCCGGCGATTTGAACCAGTTGGACGAAAGCGCGGCCGTCAGATCCTGGTGCGCCACTCCCCTGCTGACCGGGGGCAGGAATGCCGGACTCTTAGGCATGCCCCTCCCCAGGTCGGGGTGACCCACTTGCGCGAGTAGGGCAACGAACATCGACACGCCATCGGCGGGGGCGTAATGTGCCTGGAGGAGCTGAGCCCGGAGGTGTGGACCCTCGTGCTGGGCCACCTCGGCCTGCGGGACTGCACCTCCTGCCTCACGCTGAGCTCCGGTGTCCGGCGCGCGCTGCTGAATGAAGCCATCTGGAAGCATCTGTGCCTGGACCTGTTCCGTGACCTGAGCCTGCGGGACCCCGCCGACTGGCTCAACCCCCGGTACAAGGCGGAGCTGCCCTGGAACTCCCACCTGTGCCCCACTACCTACAGGTGGGGAGGGGAGCCACGGAGGATGCAAGGAGGGGACCTGGGAATCCGTGCCTGCGTGTCCACACTCGGGTCCCCCTCTTGCAGCATGGTCTCCAACCAACACCAGACGCCGCACCCTCCAACAACAGGGGTGTCTACCTGCTGGCCCGCCACTACCAGCGCATCTGCGGCTTCTGGACCACCAGCCGCTGCTGCGAGTGGAACGGCGAGGTCATCCCCGAGGCCACCATCGTGCGCTTCCGGCTTGTGCCCCAGGGCCTGGAGATCGACGGCTTCCGGGTCATGCAGGGGCCCATGCGCCGCCAGCAGTGGGGCTGCATCCACCCGGGGTGAGTGATGCGGAGGGGGTTTGTTTGCGGGATCTGCTTGCGTGTGTCATGCTCGAGAGGCTGCGTTACATGCACACTCGATGCTCGATGGTGCGTCTGCCAGCCCCCCCACTCTGCCTCACAACAATTCATTGGTGCGCCATGCAGCAAGGGCAGGAAGGGGCTGGAGTTCAGCCTGCCAGACGACGGCTCCAGGATCCTGGCTCGCATTGTCAGCGTGCCTCAAACACACGCCAACCACATGGTGAGTGTTCATGTCCTTTGGAATGTGGGGGAAGGTGCCTGCAGGAAGGACTGTTGAAGAAGCCATTGCCCCGTTTCTGCTCATCCAGAGGGAGACAGCGGGGCTCTGGTGCATCTGCACGCACATGACTCACTGGTGCTCTTACGAAGGCTCCTGTCTGAGCTCAGGGAGGGTCCCGTTGACTACTCCAGGGCCCGAACAGCACCAGCATGCCATCACCGATGTAGCACCCCCATCCCTGTACCCACCTGCGCAGGCCGGGGTGGGTGACCCCGACTTTGATGCGGCCTACAGCGCCTACGTGCAGAGCACCATGCAGACGAGCTCCAGGCGGCGGAGCCGGGGGACCAAGGAGTGGGGCGAGAACGCGGACGTGTGCCTCTACGGCCTGCGGGTGCCCGGTGCCGTGCAGGGCCCGGCGGAGGACCGGCCCCTGGCCGGCCTGTGGATGGCGGAGGGATACGGGCCCCACATGTGGGCCATCACCTACCGAGACCGCGCCAGGGTGCTCCGCCTGGAGGAGGTGGTGCGCTGCGACGAGGAGCTGTCCCACCTCCCACGCGTGCACGAGTACCGGGTGACGCCGGGGCCCGCTCTGGCCGACGCCGGCGCGGGGCACGAAGCGGATGTGGAGCACTTCCTGCGGCACGGCCTGGTGCCGGAGGGCGTGCTCCCGGCCCTGGGCTCCCAGGGCTGGCTGAGGCTGGTGGCGGAGGATCACATGAGGCAGGTGGTCCCAAACTATGTCCCGGGGAGGCTGTACCGCCTGCCCATGGAGGCCTGCGGCATGCGGGTCCGGTGAGGTGCCTTGGTCTTCGCTCTCAGACACTGTACCCAACTGTACCAGAATTAACCCAACACGGCGTGCATGCCCGCCTGTACAAATGTCGAGCTTTTATTGCTTCACGTCCTTGTGGACATGTACATCTACAACCGTCGGATCTGATGTGTCGCGCGCGCGCCCCGAGAATACGAAATGAGCAAGTCCCGGTGCAATGTGATCTGATGAGCCATCACTTGGGTACCTGCATGCTTGATTCACCCATCACCGTCATGTTGTGACGAAATAATTCCCAGATGGTGCGACTGAAGGCCTTCGCGGCCATCAACAGCGCCAGCCTCGGGCCCCATGGGCGGGGTGCCGAGACGGCCGAGGCGCTGGAGGTGCGGATCCTGGGCGCCTTCGAATCCGCCCTAAACCATGCAAGGCTGGGCAAGCTCGATCAGGCCGAGGTGTGTGTGTATGTGTATCGGCACACAGGATCTCCCGGCGGGGGGGTGGAGCTGGGGAGGGGGTCGCCAAGGATCCAGATGGGCGGACTGTTTCTCCTGCGATATCTGTGTACAGAACGCATCATCCAATCTGACCTCGCCTCGTACCACCCTTCTAAATTCCCCCTGACCCATAAAATATCCCAGACCCTGCTGCGGGGCATCCTGCGCGAGCCGGCGGTGCAGAGGGGCGATGTGGAGCAGCTGTCCCGCCTGCGTGTGCTGGCGCTGAAGCAGCTGGCGGCCCTGCTGGCCGGCAGGGACGGCGGCGGCCCCGCGGCCCTAGACTGCCTGTGCCAGGCTTGCGACCTGGGCCCCCCCGACGCGGTCCTGCTGAGCCGCCTGACCACCCTGGCGGGGCGGGAGGGGCGCTGGCCGCTGGCACGCTGGGCTGCCGAGGCCGGGCTGGAGCTGGACCCGGCCCACCCCACCCTGGCCGCCAAGGCGGCGGCCATCGCCAGCCACGTGGGCGACGGCGCCTGGGCCGAGGAGTTGGGCCGTTCTGTCGGGGGCAGGCGCTGGGACGCGGCGGCGCCCACGGCCTTCCGCGCCGCGCTGCCGGCGGCCTACCAGGCGGAGCGCCCCCTGCCAGAGCCCAGCGTGCGCAGCGTGGCTTTGCCCCGCGACTGGACCCCCGTGCTGCTCGAGGTGGCCGCCTTCCTGGGCGCCGGCTCTGCGCTGTGCGAGGAGGGCCCCGACCGACTGATATTGCTGGAGCGGGAGAGAACGGAGGGGCGTACGGCGGGGGAGCAGAGCCCGCGCGGCATGGGGGCGCCGGGTGCAGTGCCCGGCGAGCCAGGGCAGGAGGGTGATGCGGAGGTCGACGCAGGCGGCGGCGACGCGACCCAGCCGGCGGGGGAGGGCGGCACAGAGGCCGCGCCTGCCAAGCTGACCAGGTCCAGGTGAGGGCTTGCGGGTGTGTCAAGATGGGGCATGGCATTTACCATCCCCTTCCGCCCCTGGTCCCGGCCGCCCACCGCTCATCCCACCTGACCCAGGGCTCGGGGCCTGGGCGACGACCCGACCCAGTCGCAGCCGGGTGGCGACGAGGGCGCCGAGGACGAGGGCCGAGCGAGGTTGGGGGCGCTTTGGTGCCTTTTCCCTGGCCCCACACGTGTTGATGCGCTGAGGGACGATGGTGAGGCGGCAACGGCGAGGGATGGAGCCCTGGAAGAAGATGAGCGTGGCGCCGGGCCTGGCGCCCCCCCTGCACCAATGCCAATATCCACACAGGGTCTCGAGGGGCTGCTGTGGCCCGCGCAAGGCCTGAGCACTCCTTCACCCGGCGCACCCCCGCCCCCCGCCCCGCCCCACTGGGATCGGCTGAGCCTGGGCGTGGAGGTGCTGGCGCGCCTGGGCGCTGCGCACCAGGCCCTGGCCACGCTGCCGCCCGAGGGCCGGGACGCTGTGCTGGCGCTGGCGAGGCACGTAGTCGGCGCCCAGGGTCTAGGCGCAGACGCCCTGGAGCCGCCTGTCGCGTTGGTGCTCGCCGAGTACTTCTTGGATCGCGCAGAGGCCGAGGCGGGGGCGGACGGCGCGGCCGCAGCCGGCGCGGCGGCGCGGCTGCTGGAGCCCTGTGATGCCTTGCTGGCGCGGGCGGCCACGGCCATGCCCGGAGCCTGGCCGGCTGGTGAGGGCGAGCGTGCAATAGAAGGCGCGCCGTCTCCGCCCTGCCTAGCCGCGCGCCTCGCCTGGACCAGGGCCCGGCTGCTGGAGGCGCGGGGCGATCGCGCCGCCGCGCGCTCTGCCTTTGAGGCCGCGGGTGCCGAGCTGCGAGCCGGCCCCGCTCAGGTGGTCCCGCTGCCGCACTGCCGCCTGACCCCGGAGCTGTCCCCCGCCGCGGTGGAGGCTCGCCTGCACGCCGCCTCCATCCGCGACCTGCTGGACGCGGCAGCCGAGGGGAGACTGGGCGTGGAGGGCGAGGCCGGCGTGGTCGCCGCGCTGGCCCCTGTCCTCCTGGAGGCGCCATCGTTCGACACCGGGCGTGGCCCCCCGCGGCCGCCGCGCTGGCGCGAGGCCATGGCGCGGCTGCTGGTCGCGGCGGAGGCGGTGGGCGACTCGGAGCGCGTGCTGCAGTGCCACCTGCACCTGCTGGCCGCTGTCCTGGGGCCGCATGGGCGCCGCGGGGGCCCCAAGCGGGGCGGCGCGGCGCGAGGCGGGGCGGCGCGGGACCGCCGCTTAGATGCGCCAGCGGAGACCCCCCCTGTCCCGCTGCTGGGCGACGCCGACGCGCTGCGCACGCTGGCCGGCGGCGCGCGCGCGCTGTGCGCGCTGGAGCTCGCCCTGCCCGCCAGCGTGGGTGGGCTGCAGCTGGAGGCCGCCGCGCCGGACCACACCATGGCGACGTGCGTCGCGCTGTGCGCGCTGGGCTGCCTGCAGGCCCTGGCCAGCGGAGGGGGGCAGGGCACCGAGGCCGTAGCGGCCGCGACAGATGCCATCGAGGAAAGCGGGGTCACAGCGACGGCCCTGCGCGCCGCCGCCGCCGCAGACCTCGCGGTGGTTGTGCAGGAGCTCTTCCGCATGGTCAGGCGGGAGGAGGGTGCGGCGAGCCTGGTCAGCATGCTGAGCGCGCTGGGGGTCGCCCTGGGGGAAGCGGGCGCGCTCGCCGCGGGGGAGGGGGCCTGGCCGCGGCTGTGCCTGCGCCACCTCCTCTTCATCTGGGAGAGCCTTGGAGGCAGCTGGGAGGCGGGCGCCGAGGTAGATGCCGCCGATGCAGGTGGGATGCTGTCTGGATATGGGTGTTGATGCGGAGGACCAAGGAAGGGGATCTGGAAGGGGGGCGGAGGAGGGTGCAGGGTCTGTCGCAGACGGATGCCATGGGATGTTGTCTCGCACTGGCGGGTGATCTTCAACGGCTCTCTGAGTGCAGACCGGTATGTCCAGCTGCTTGCCATCTGCATCAGGTCTACTATGTCTCACGGGCTCTGCCTCGGCCAGCCGCGCCGTGGATTGAGCCAGTCTAGCGTAAGCCCCCTGACGCACTCCCCCTCCTCATGCAATGCAGTGCTGCTGGAGCAGGTGGTCCAGGGCATCCGGGCCTGCCTGCACTGGCTCTGCGCGCTGGACTTCCCGGAGCTGGACCAGGACGAGGGGGTTTGGGGGTCAGGCGCCTTCAAGGTAACGCGCGTGGCTGCTGGTAGAGTGGGCTGCAGGCGGGGCGCCAGGCTCTGGGGCCCACGGCAGTGTCTTTGTTGATGAGGGCTAATTTCAGTTCTCAAGCATTGATGCATGGCCTCGCCAACAGAAACCCTCCCCACTGTGCCAAAGGCGTTTGACGACCCGGGCGAGGACTGGGCAGTCCTTGGGGAAGCGGAGATCAGAGCGGTGTGGGGCCTGGTGTTCCCAATGCTGGATGGGCTGAGCCGCCAGGCGTTGACACGACATGCCGGTGCGGGGCGCGGCGCTCCTGTACACGGGTTGGAAGGGGGCTGCTGAGGGGTACTGCTGTCAGCATGCTGACCAAAAGCACGGACTCTGGCCGTCGCATGAGTGCCAGCGGCTTGCTTGACGTTCCCTTTGCGACTTGATGAGACCCCACTGCCCCTGCCATGACAATGCCTGGCCTGGGCCTCACATCATTACATAAGTACCAAGCCCATCCAGGCTTCCTGAGGGCCGTACACCGGCAGATCGGGGCTCCTCCCGAGGAGCTCATGGCCGCTGCACAACACTGGTGGAGGGAGCTGGAGGGCAGGGGGCTGCAGGCCGATGCAGGTGCCTACCTCCTCGACCCCAGCACACTGCCTCCCCTGCCATCCTCCGGTGCGCGCCGGCGGGTGTGCGGACGTGTTGTGTGTCAGTACCGGCTGGATGCTGAGGCGGCGTGCTGGCTGCAGCGTCTGCATGGCAATGGGCTGGGGGGCCAAGCAGGATTCCCCAGGTCATCGTGCCGTCCTCCAGGGATTTCTTTCCTTCGTCTGCAGCGGCCACTTGCGCGGATCCGGTGCGCCAGGGCCTCTACTTCCTCCTCACACGAATCAGCCCCGAGGCGGAGGTGAGTCATGGCTGGGGAAGTGCACGGACCCCCTTGCATGAACCTGCGCTGTGGCCGTGAGCATGGGCTCGTACGCCTCTGAGCTCGGGTGATCACCCCAATCCCTCGAAACCATGTGCCAAAGGTACCCGCTGGCCGCGCCCTGGATCCGGCGGTGGATGCGGAGCTGGAGGGGATGCTCCAGCTCGCCAAGCACACGCTGCTGTACTCGCCGGACGAAACCCACTTTGGATGGAAGCTGCTCGCTGACGCATATGCGGCCGCCTCGGAGCGACTGCTGGTGAGGGGCTTGTTTGGATGCTGGAGAGTGTGGGGCATGCTGAGTTGCTCCAGATCAGCATCCAAACTTGAGACACAGTTGGCACTTCCCGGAGCATGTTCCGGCTGCACCTACTCATCACCGTCCCTCCGCCTTCCTCCCCTGCAGACAGAGGCCACGATCACGTTCACGCCAGACCAGTGGCTGTCTGCGGAAGCTCATTGGCCCAGGCGAGACGCAACGATGGGCTGATGGCCAGAGTGTACAGGGAGGATCGGATGCTTGGCTGCTCATTTGCACTTGCGGGATGACGTGTTGTTTCTCTGATCCTTCCTGCGACAAAGGAGCACCAGGATGCCTGCATCCGCCCCGAGTCTGTCATGGAGCAACGACCACGTGTCCACTCGCCGGTCGCAGGGCCGACCGGTACCGCTGGCTGACCCGCGTGTGCGCTGCCATCGCGGCCCACGTGACGTACGACCTGGAGGCCAGGGCAGACCTGCTCAAGCTCGTGGCCGAAGAGTGCGTGTGACGCTTGTGGTCACGGTGTTCTCCGGCGTGGGGCTCTGTTTGGGGCGGGGGGAAGGCTCACTGCTGCGAAGTCCGGTGCATGGCGTCGGTGTTTCTTGAGGCAGCAACCACTTCCTTGCCAAGATGTTTGAGGTGCAGTCCCAGGCGCCATTCCAAAGTAAAGGTCGCTGCATCCCCTCACCGTAACCAAAGACATCGAGGTGGGCCATCGAAGCCCTCCTCGTCAGCCTTCCTCCCGCCCCCACCTCTTGGCGCAGGTGCATGGCAGACCTGAGCGCTGCCCTGCCCTGGAGCGACCCTCTCGCGTCTCGGCCCAACGGCCCGCCGTCCGATCCCTCCCGCCTGCGCAGTGCGCGCGCCCACTTCCGGCGCGCGCTCGAGCGCGACCCCCGCGCCTGGACCGTGCAACTGGGCCTGGCTCGGTGCTCATGGAAAGCGCAGCGGCCGTGCGAGGCGCTGGCGCTCTTCGCGGCCGCCGCGCGCAGCGCGCAAGAGCTGTGCGGCGGCCTGGTGGAGCCGGTGTTCCGCCTACACGCGGCGCGGGCTCGGCTGCTCCTGCCGGGCGAGAAGCGCGGCGGCAGCGGGCCCGACGAGGCTGCGCGCCTGCGCCGCGCCCTGCTGCTCACCGCCTTTGACCCGGACGCTGTGCGCGAGTCCGAGGCGGGGGGCGCGCCTGTAGAACGCGCGCTCGCCGACGACGCTCTGGCGGCGATGCGCTGGTGCCTGGGGCGGGACCGGCACCACCACCTCGCCGCGGCGATGGCGGCGCGCCTGCTGGCGGCGCGCGGCGAGGCGGCGGCCGCGGCGGCCGAGCTCGCGCCGCTGTTTTCCAAGGCCAAGCAGGCCTTTGTCTTCAATATGTTCCCCATCGCACAGGGTGACGAGGGCGCAGGCAGGGGCGCCGACTGGCGCGCACGCCTCCTGCAGGCGGATGAAGGGCGGCGGGCTGGCGGCGAGGGCGTCTGGGACGAGGCGACGGCTGGTCGAGGGATGCCCGAGGGTGGCAAGGCTGTCGATACATACGGCGCTTTTGAATCACGCGATGGCTCAGAACGCGGCACCATGGCAAATGAAGATGGCCTAGAGGGCGCGGGCCGCCCGCCACCGCGCACGGCGGCCAACGGCCTGGAGGAAGGCAGCCGCGCCTTCTGGCGGCGTGCGCACAAGACGCTGGCCCTGTACCTGTCCCTCTTGGGCCAGACGGGGAACCTGGAGACGCTCCAGGCGGCAGGTGGGGGGCTGCGTACCTGTGTGCAGAATGGGGAGGAGGGAGGAGGGGGGCATAAGGGATCTGGGAGGCTTAGGCCGAGGTGCAGGATCTCCATCCTCAGCACTCAGAGGTCATGATGGAAACTCAAAACCCAAGTGAGGCCATCTTGTGCAACCAGCATCCGCATGCTGTTCTCCTTGTCACCCTTCACGAACACAAGCACACAAATTCACACAGCCGCCGCCCTGGCAAAGGACGCGAGCGCGGCGGAGCAGCAGGCGGCGGGCGCTCCGGTGCGGCTGCCCCACGCCCGCCGGACCGCCGAACTGGCGTGGGGCCAGTACCTGCTGACCCTGACGGCGGCGCTGCAGCGCCCTGTGGAGACGCTGGCCGGGGCCATGCGGTGCGTGGAGGGGCCTGGCCCACGCGACCCCGGCGACTGCCAGCAGCTGGCCTCCCCCGCGCAGCTCGAGCTGGCACAGTCCATTGAGACGCTGCCCCTGGAGCCCTTCCAGAGGGCGTACGAGGTGTGTGTTTCCTGTGGGTGGGCTGGCTGGGTGTCGATGCACGTGGGGATAGAAGGGCTGGACTACCTGGAGGGTGGGTGATCGTGTCGCATGTGGCGCTGCCCTCAATGCGCTGAACCGGACCAAAAAACCTGCTGTGCAATTGGAGAGGGCGCCGCATGTTGGAGTATCCTCCAAGCATGCCCCTCAGGCATCCCCAAGATCTCCCCTCCAATCGACGCGCTGTCCAGGTGTATCTGGACCATGTGGCAGCGGCGCCGCTGGGCCAGACCTGGCGGCGGTCCTGCTGGCTCCCCGCCGCCGCGGCGCGCGCGTCGCTCGGCCCACGGCCTCCAACCCCAGCCGACCCGGAGCGCACAGCCGCCCGGCGGGCCTGGGGGGCCACGCCCGGCGCCAGCGCAGCCCTCTTCTCGTGCTGCGCCTGCGCGTACGTCACGCTGCTGGGCGCAGCGCCGGGCGGCGAGGCCGGCCTGGCCGCGCTGCAGGCCGGGCTTCGGCGCCGGGCGGGGTCTCACCACCCGGCGGCCGTGGCGAGGGCCGCGGCGCGCCTGGCGCGCGGCATGCAGGCCTCGCGCGGCACCGCGCTGCAGGCGGAGATGCGCGCAGTGGCCCGGATGCCCGGGGTGCGGGCCCTGCCGCCGCGACCCCGGGGGCGGGGAGGGGGCCGGTCGGTGCGGCGCCGGAACCCCAGCTGCTCGGCGAGGTGGCAGCTGCCCCAGCGCCGGCGGTGGGAGGCCGGCCCCCTGGCTACGCGGTGCCTGCCGGGGCCGCAGCCACGCTGGGAATGGTGCCTGTGGGAGCCAGCCCGACCTCCCAGCCCGGCCCGAACCCCAGCTGCAGCCCGCCACGCCCCATGCGGCATGACCCCCAGCAGCCCTCTCCGCGTGCCGTCCCCGCGCCCTCTGCAGACTCACTGGCGCGCGCCCGGCTGGGACTGGCGTCGCTGGAGGCGGCTGCGCGGCAGCTGACCGCGCTGCACACGCAGCAACAGGCGGCGCTGGCGGCGCAGCAGGCGCCCACGCAGCAGGCCTGGGCCGTGCGCCTGGCGGACCTGCAGCGCGCCGGCGCGGACACCGGGCCGACCCTGCTCGCCTTCCAGGCGCTGCAGGGGCAGGTGCTGGCGCAGCGCATGGCCCTGCTCCAAGCCCAGGCCCGGGACAGGGAGGCCGTAATCGCCGCCCTGGCTGCCACGCGGCGCCAGGCCGCCGAGGGAGAGGCGGCAGAGGCTGGAGCGGTGGCGCAGGCTGGAGCGGCGGCGCAGGCAAACGCGGCAGAGGCTGGAGCGGCGGCGGCGCGGCAGGCTGCAGCGGCAAACGTGGTGGTGCAGCCCGCGCCGGAAGGACGAGGCAGGCAGGGCGCAGGGGAGGGGGCTCTGACTGCCCCTGAGGCCAGCGTTAATGCGGCGACGGCGGTAGGAACCGCAGCTTCTTCGGCCTCCCCCGCACGGCCCGTCGCCGTGCCGGAGGGGGAGGAGGCCGAAGCAGCAAAAGCCGCTGCCCTGGACCTCCTCAGGCGTATAGTCGCTCTGCAGAAGAACGAGCATTGGGTCCTGGTAGGCTGCGGGCAGGGGGGGCAGCTTGTGGCTCGATATGGATGGGACAGGAAAGTCCAGGAGCACCGCAGTGCTCTGCAGAGGCAAACATGCAATGCACATTCGAGACTTGCATGCAAGGATAAGCTGAAGAAAGCTTCGACCTCAGCCCCACTGCCTCCCGTACAGCAACTGGATGCTGGCTCCAAGGTGCATGCCCAGGCGTGCAGGGCGGCGGCCGCGCATGCCATGTCGCTGCTGAGAAGGTAGGCTGCCTGGATAGGCCAGCTTGCCCGGGATATGTTTGGTGTGATCCACCCTGGAGTTGTGGCGGCTTGGCTGGCGTTCAGCACTTGTCCGTGCCAGCCGCAGGGTCGCTGCACGAGGGTCACCAGCCCTAGTCACGCCCTGAGCTGGAGGACCAGCAGCATGCAAGAGCCACACAGCGGCATGCTCTCGCCCAGCATACCAGCACCTCCTGACCATACGCAGGACGGTGCAAGTGCTTGGGGCTCTGAACACCGGGGTCTGGGCCGCGCCGCCCCCCGCCCAGGATGCCACCCGCCAAGCAGAGGAGCTCGTGAAGAAGGAGCGGCGCCGCCTGCGGGCGGCCAATACCGCCGGCCTATCCTCTGCATTGAATACGCCCCAGAAGGAAGGAACGGCAGAGCCTGCGGGGGATGGTGACGCCGTGCCAGCCTCTGCAGCAAAGCGTCTCCGCATGGCGGAAGCCGCCCCTGACGAGGAGGCGGCTGCGCCCGCCGCTGCGCCATAGAACGGCTGCCACTCTGTTCTTTAAGGGTCGTACCGGAGTGCAGCGTCTACTGAGTACCTTTCTGTCTGTTTTTACACGCTGGAACCTGGCTGGAGGACCAAAGAGCAGCGCGCGCCTCCAAGGAGGGCGCGATACTCAGAAGTCCGGGGCAAGGGCACCGCGAGATGCAATGTGTGATGTGCCTCAGGAACTAACAAGATATTTGAATCGCTCTCCTTATAAACCAGATATACATCGCGACCGCCTACCTGCGTGTCCTCCGAGGCAGCCATGGTGGCCACCCGGTCCAGAGGCAGCGAGTCGGAGGAGCCTGCGGCTGCCTCCGACGACGCATTCATGGAACAGCTACTTCAAGGCATGTCCTCTGCTCTTGGTCTGGCTCCACGGGACGAAGTGGAGGACGCAGCCGGACCCAGTGGCAGCGCGGCACAAGCACTCGAGAATGCTCATCTCAAATGGCGCCCAGACTTGCGCCTGCCGGTCAGTGGTCCCCAGGAGCCAATACTCGCTACAAGAGGAGTGGACGAGCTCACGAAGCAGGTGTGGAGTGTATGCAAAGAGTGGGTGCTTCAGCCTGTGCAGGGGATGCACAGGCGACTGGCGACCAGCAGAGGTAGAGGAACAGCATCTCACATAAATAATGGATGACCTGACGACTTCTCGTTGGCCTCCCTCCTCCCCCCCAGTTGACCATACCCCCTCTGGATAGTAAGAAAGCGCGACGTGCGGCGCAGGCTGCCGCCCCAGACACCAGTGGCAAGTCGTGGTTTGACATGCCAGCCACCAGAATCACCGAGGAGGTCAAGAGGGACCTCCGCATGCTGCGCTTGAGGTGAGCTAGGCTCGGCATGCTTGCGGAGTATTAGATGACTGACTCTGCTGGCAAAGCTACGTCTTGGCTGCAAAGTTCTTGTGACCTCTGCGCTGGTGGATGGCCCTTGAGCTTTTGCAGCGATTAGTCGCAGCAATACCCCACCTCTCACCCCACCGAAATCTGTCATGTGCAGGTCTGCCTTTGATCCCAAGGCCTTTTACAAGAAGTTTGACAACACGAAGTTCCCCAAGTACTTCCAGATGGGCACAGTTGTGGAGGGTGCTGCTGACTTCTACTCAAGTGAGGCTCGTGGCAGGGGATGGGCTTTGCTGTGGCAGCTCTACGCTTTTGTGTGGTGATCCCTCTAAGCTTGAAGAGTCACAGGTACTGCATGGCAGTCAAACATCAGCATGAGCTCATCTCCACCGTACTCCCACGCAGGCCGGCTGACCAATTCTGAGCGGAAGCAGACGTTTGCAGAGGAGATTGGGGCGGATCCCCGGCTGACACAGGTATGGGGGCACATGACCGGCTGGTTTGCTGCCTGTTTGTAGCAGGAGTGTGTACATGCATGGGAGTAGCACCTGGGGTGAGGCTGGCGGTTTCGTTACAGAATTTGCAGACAAAGATGCTTAAACCACCCGAACCCCTCCCTGGTCCACCGCTGCAGGCACGCCTCAAACGGTATGGCAAGATGCAGGAGGAGAAGTCCAGGTTCTCGCGCAAGGGGCGCAAGACTGACAACCCCAGGCTCAAGAAGAAGCCACGGCGGCCAAAGCATTGACAGTGGCCAGCCACACTTTGTTCTTCTGTTGTGCTCTCGCATGGTCAGCACTTGCTTTGTACAGCATCACAATGATGTGTGTCCCTGATGGGTCCAAGCAAATAGTCATAGGGGGTGGTTCATGGGTACCTGGAGCCTGGACTGTAGGCCTCAAAGTGTGGAAGCTACTACCTGGACATTCGCCAGTGATTTCCCACTGGACTGGGCTGGGAACTCGACCTGAGGCAGGCAGTCCCAGGAGCATCACCTATCCACGAGGCTCCTGCGGGTAGCTCCTATGGCAGCCGGGGTGCCCAGCATCCAGTCTACTGAGCCGCCGCTGATCCCAAACGCCTCCTCCGGGTTCGAGTAGTGGTGATGCATGTGTGCGGCCTTGAGTCGGCCGCCCAGCCTACCGGAGTGCATGAGGTAGTGCATGCAATCATAGCGCACATACCCTAGCAATAGGCCCCCAAAGAAGGCGTCGCTCCCACCCTGCAAGCGTTGGGTGATGGCAGAGGAGGCTTGAAGGGGGGGGAGTAGTGCCACGACTTCCGTGTCTCCTCAAGAAAGCCAGGCACCGGTGCTTGCCGAGTAAGGTACCAGCCGATTTGCCCTGCTTCCCCCACCCCACGCCAAACACCCTACCGCTGGGAGTGCGAGCCTGATCATGTAGTACAGGCCTGCGGCGATGAGGGCGGCGGGCAGGGGTGGGAAGACCAGGCGATCAACGTCCTGGGGGAACTTGTGGTGGCAGCCGTGCAGGAGAAAGTGTGCGCAGACGGCCGCAGGGGAGTGCGGCCGGGCGTGGAAGACCCAGCGGTGCAGGCTGTACTCCACGCCCTGCCAGCTCAGCGCGCCCGCCGCGGCATAGCAGGCCGAAGTTGGGAGGCCCCAATCCTGCACGGCCACCGCCAGCCAAGCGCAGGCCACCGGGATCCAGAGCAGCGGGACCACCCACCACTGAACCTTGGTCAGGCACTCCAGTGCATCGCTGGCAAAGAAGCGTGGCTGCCCCGGGACGGGGGAGTGCACCCAGACATGGTAGCTGGCAGCGCTCAGCTGCTTGACCTGCATGTGGGAAAGGGGTTTTACAGCAAGATTTGGACGACGAACAGGTGATTCGAGCCCTTCCTGCGCCGACCGACAAGATCAAACAAAAAGCACTCTTTGCATTGCTTCATGGCACGTAAGCTATTGGCTGCACGTTTGCTGGAGGCATGGCATCTACCCTCTCCCTCCTCTCCCACCTGGGCTAGGATGGGCGCGGCGCAATCCACGGGCTTCCTGGTGGATACCTTCCTTCTGGACCTCAATACCGGGTCTGCCAAGCCAGAGCACATTGCTGGATTTGAGGGAACCTGTCCCCAGACTACTCAAATGTGCCGCAGGGGTGTGGGCGTGGCTCCCCGCCGTGACCTGGAATGATCACTGGCATCTGTGCCCAACGCACGTTCGATCCCTGTGATATGTGGCGTATGCAAAGGTGATCAGGTGATATTACACATCACTCACACATGCCGCTCGTAATCCCTGCATCGAGCGAAGGTACCTTGTCCTTCCCGGCCTGCGCACAGTCTCTGGCCAGTTGGAGGGCTGACGTCGACGTATACGAAGGCGAGACAGCCGACTCACAGCGCCATGATCTGAGGGCACGGGTCACCGAAAAGGCCTGGCGGAGGCATTTCAGCCAAGCGTCCCGTCGTGCACCTCGCACGCGGGGGTGGGATCGGCACTTTGGCAAATCTCTGCGCGCGCCGGCGCTCGTGTGTCCCTGGCCGGCATCGGCTGGGTGGCCTGCACAGTGAGACCGAGTGCCGTGCTGCAACACCAGCCCTGCTCACCACACCAGCCCTTCCTGAGATTGGTTATACACATGTGTCATGCAAAGATTGGTGTGCACGCACAGACTCGGGTCGATGTCAGACACAGAAAATTGAGGGCCACAGCGCGGCCCTTGCCAAATGCATTCCATTCGACCTCTCACCGGCCCTTCTTCTTCCCCGTCACCATCATGGTTCCAGAGGGGATGAAGAGCACGTCCGCCCACTCGCCCCGGGCGTCCGCCTCCATCCTGCCCAGCACCTCCTCCAGGCTGCCCAGGTCTACCCGCGGCACCTTGACCTGTTGGTGCCCGACAAGAGGGTGGGTAAGATGGCAGCCTGGTGTGCAGGAAGCATGTGGTGGAATGCGGCGCCATCAACATGGGTAGTCAGCACCGCAGCTTGATTGTGAGCTACCCCCAGAGCAAAGCATGCGATTGCCTTGCACCCCCCCCTGCACCCCCATCTGAGTGACTTCCTAGAACAACTGTGGCAAGGGATTCACTCCCTATTTCTTCCGCGCCTCACCTTCTTGTCCTCAAGCTGAGCCGTGCGCGCCTGGTACCGTGCCTGCGCCTCTAGCGCCGGCTTCAGCTGGCGCTCTGCTGCGGCCTTTGCGGCCTTGTCCTCCCCCGCACTTGCAACCTGCAGATGGGGGTCCCAGAAGCACATTCAGGAAGTGAGTGGAAGCTGGAGTGCCAAAGCCTGGTGGGACGAAGGGTGGTGTATCAAGTCCTCCCTCACAGCGTCTCCAGGACATGCATCACATCGCGAAGATGAAATCTCCTAAACCCACAATCCCCCCCCCGCACAACCATCCACCCACACCTCGTCCCGGATGCGCTGCACATCCTTCCTGGCCTCCTCCGCACGCTGCCGGGTCAGGCCCAGCATCTCCTCGTGCTTCTGGCCCGCGGCCGTGCCTAGGGCCACATCCAGGTCGGCCTTGCTGAAGAAGAGGGGGGTGCAGCGCTTGCCCTCGGACATCACCGTCAGGCCCTCAGCCTGGAACAGGGGCACGCCCATGAAGCCGCCGGCCGACACGCCGGCGGCGTTGTACAGCTGCAGCGCCGCCGCCACCTCGCCAGGCTCGGGCACGAAGCGGAAGGTCACGCCCTCCAAGCCGGTGGAGGCGCGCGGCGTCAGCGCAAAGTCGTACACCGAGGCGAGGCTGGTGGGCAGCACGCGCGCCGCGCGGCCCTGCGCCGCGTCCGACGCCTTCATCTGCGGCGTGGTGTGAAGGTGGGAGGGGGTCATGTTGGAGGCGGGTGTGCGGTGCGGTGTGTGTTGCTGCGTCTGGTGATGATTTGGGATTCGGGGAAGCTCTACGAGAATGGATTGTATTGTTCGCGGGGCGGGCTGGGGGTGCACACCGCAACCATCAGCACCGCCCTCTCTTTCTTCCCCTCTCCTCGTGGCCCCCACCAAAACCCCTCTGGAGGCTCACGGTGGCCACGAGGGCCTGTGCATCGGCCTCGTTGAAGAAGAAGAGGCCCAGCTGGCGCTTTTCCGCCTGCTCTCCAGTGACCAACACGAACTCCTCCTTCCCATTGACCACGGTGAAGACCGGCACATTGGCCAGGCGGGCCTTGATCTCCTCGGGGGCGAGGGCGAGGTCGAAGGCGGGCTGCGGGGCCGAGCCCGACACCACGCGCGCGGCGGTGGTGATGGACTGTGTGGGAGGGGGGAAAGGGGAGGAGACTGAGGCAGTGCAGAGGCATGGGGCGAGAGGACACCACACAGCAGGAGAGCACAAACCCCAAAGGGAGTCAAGAACTCGCGGGGCGGTTGACAAAGCCGGTGCCATCCTACTTTGGTGTGATGTACTCCTTTGTAGCACACAATCCACCTCCATGCACACTTTCATCACCCCCAAACAGAACCCGGACACGCACCGCCAGGAGCACGCTCGGCTGGGGTCGCTGGGCAGGGGGAGGGACCCTCAGCCTGGCCAGCTGCTGACCGAGCGCTTGGATCCCGTGGTGGGCCCCTTCCACATGCTGATTCACCGCAGCTTGCAGGGTCGCAGACTGGCGGGCGAGGTGTTCTTGCCAGGAGGTGACGCAGCGCTGCACCCGAGCCTGCAGCTCCTTATGAGGGGCCGAGGCCTCCGTCATAGAGCTCATTGCACGTGGAATTATACCACCGCCGTCTCTCGGAAAATGTATGATTATTCGAGATCGGTGGGTGCGAATGTGCGGGGTAGATAAGTCTCTGTCGCGCCCTGGCATTCAGGACGTGGAGTTCTGGAAATTTTGATCTGCACTCCGACAGACATCATCCCGCTGCACAGATTTCGGCAGCCTGCGCAGGGGCTCCCAGTGACGACGCCTAGAATCCAACCGCGCCCGCCTCGGAATGTAGACATTTAATCGCGGTTCTTGTTTGTCCAAACTTCCCGTCCAATGGCGACCACGGTGGCGACACGGAACACCGTAACACTCCGGGGGAGCACGGCGACGGTGACAGAATTCTTCCAGACTGCCCTGTCTTCCATCCTATACCAGCGCGGCGTCTACCCTCCCGAGTCATTCGAGCCCAGGAAAAAGTATGGACTCACCGTGATGGCGGTGAAGGACTCCAAGCTGGAGAGCTATCTGGATTCGGTCCTCACCCAATTCAAAGGTGACTGAGGGTCTGGGTTGGACGCACGACATTTGAAATGACCTATGCCGCAACGAGCCGAGTAGCTTCATGGCCAATCCCATTCCCCATGTGCAGACTGGCTCGCCCTCGGAACGTTGCAGCAGGTGGTATTGGTCATCGCATCGCGCGTGACAAAACAAGTCCAGGAGAGGTGGGCTTTCGACATCCAGACCGACAAGGATGTCATCAGCACACAGTGAGCAAGAGGGTTGGGGGACTCTGCAGGACTCGATGAAGGAATTGAGCTAGAAATGGCCTTGTTAGGCTTGCCCCCAATACCACTTCAGGGTGTCACTGAAGCTCTCTTGAACGCTAGAATCTGCCCGACTTCCCCCCCCCCGTCCCAATCACAGAGTATTCCCTGAGAAACCAGAGGCCCAGATCACCGGCGAGATCCAGGCTATCATTCGCCAAATCACTGCCAGTATCACCTTCCTGCCCCTTCTCAGCGACGCCTGTGCGTAGCTGGGTACCTGCTGGGGGTTCTGTGAGGTTACTTTGAGTACATCGGGAGGGGACTTCAGAGTCTTGTTTGCCCTGGGCACCCTTCCAGATCATCTGCTGCTTCAGTCTCCGAAAGCCCACGCTTCATTATTCATCACATCCTGCCCCATTGCTGTCCACTGTGCAGGCACAATCGACCTACTAGCCTACACAGACCGTGCATGCGAGGTTCCTGGTGAATGGTGCGCCATCAGAGGCTGCGGGGGAAGCCTCAACCACTTGGCACATGCCCATGTACTTCCTTGCTGAAAATGAGCTACAGGCAACCGCTGCGTGCGCAAGCTCAAAGCCCACATGTCGCTTCCCTTGGCTGGTGCCACAACTCCACTTACATACAGGGAGGAGAGCGATCCTCGCTACATCAGCAATGCAGCCGACGTGAAGCTCCGCTCCTTCTCGACCAAGGCAAGGAGGGGGAGGGGGAGGGCGCGCGCATTTGTATCCTCTGCGCAGCCAAAATGTTGTGAAATCTCACCTGAAACCCAAGATCCATCGCGACCCCACGCCATGGGCCCCCTCCTCAGGTTCACAGCGTGGCCACACTTGTGAGCTACAAGGCGGACGAGGATGCATACTGAGCGGCGTCTTTGTTTTACCCTGATAGATGCCCCTTGACTGTGCGGGCAGACCTCGTCACTCCACTTCTCCCGCCGAGGACGAGGAGTCCTCTGAAGCATCCCGCTTGAGGGACGTGCGTTACGCTCTCTTGTTCAAGCGGGCACACAATGAAATCGTAAACTAGAAAGGGTAGCGAGGTGATTCTCACAGGTCAGTGTTGAAGCAGGTCCTGATAGACCATGCGCCCAGAAGAGCGAAACGAGGCAGCCGACTCAGGCGGATGGCACCGGTGCAGCCTGGGGGACGCTGCTGGCTCCCTCCAGCCGCTTGGCGGCCCGCTGCGCCGCGCGCTTCAGCCGTCGCTTCTGCGACTCCTTCTTGCTCGACACTGGAGGGGGCGGGGGCGGCGCCCCGCGGGCCGGCGTCGCCTCGCCCGAACCCCCCACGCCGCGCTGTGCTAAGTGGGGGCACGCCACCTTTTCCCCGGCCTTCATCCGTGCCAGCACTGCCCTCACGTGCGCTTTCCCCTGGCCCATGCACGCGCCTGTCTCGTCCGGCCACCGGGTCGGACCGAGGACGGCCGAGCGCGCTCGCTGGGTGGCCCCCGCCGCCAGACTCGCCGCAGACACCGCGACGGCAGCGCAGGCAGCCAGGTCGGGTTCTACCCACTCGGGAGCGGGCCGTCGAACGGGTGGCGGGGGCGAGGCCTCCCTCTTGGAAGGCACGATGCGGGTGAAGAGGGCGAACGCAGCCGCTGCCTCCCCCGCCCCATCGTTGGTCGGAGGGGTTGGGGAGGGCCGCTCCGGCGACGAAGAGGGGGAAGCCATCATCTCATCCAGCTGGCGGCCCAGCCTAGCATGCAGGAGAGCAGCCACCTGGCGAAGCGGTGAGGGTGGGGGATCAGAAGATGCCAGGACATTCTTGAGGAGGCAAGCCGAACAGGATGAGTGTCACGATATCTATGCCGCGGTCCCAACCAGGTACTCTGGATTCCTGCTCATGGCACCCACCTTCTTATGTGTGATGCCCATGCCGTCATACTCAGTGTCCGATCCGTCGTCGCTGTTCTGCGTGGCAGCGCATGCCCGAGCGATGCTGGCACCCCCACCCTTGGCCCGTTGCAGTGCCCGTGCATGGCGTCGTTTCGATGCCTGTACGGTAGAGTGTTTGAAGATGCTCAGTACAAATTTAACCAGAATACTGCTCTAGGAATATACACTGGCCCTCTACACACCTCCTGACTGGCAGTTGCCGCTGCGGACAGGGTCTCGGCAGACACAGCGACGCTGCGGAACATGGCCGTCGCGGCATCGTCTTCTGACGATGAGCTGGAGGACGAGGAGGAGCTGGGAGTGCTCGTGGCCATTTTGAAACAACTTGTAAATCGATGCCTTTACTCTCAAAGTTTCCCTTGCATGTCTTCATGCGCATAGGTATCACAGCGCGCGCCCGGAGCTCCACCCTTTCCTGAAACCCCTTCCGTTCTGGCTTCTTGAAATTTTGTACAAGCAGCGCGAGCCAAGACCTCGCGTGGTTGGCAGACTCCCTCCGCTCAGCTTGATCGCGATACAAGAGCATCTTCGATCCCCTTGATTCTCTGCTCCGACTGCGTTGTCTCGATCGCTTTGGCTGGTTCTGCGACAAACCCCGGTGACAGACCTGGGGTAGTGGGATCGAGCATGATTTGCAAGGAAGGCTGAGGCAGCCATGCAACAGCCGGATTTTGTGGGCAGGTACAGAGTGCTCGAGCTGGTGGGAGAAGGCTCCTTCGGCAAGGTGAGGGCTGTACGGACAGGGCCTGCCGCTGCTGAGCAGGGAGTAGAGTTATGAGCATGAAGTCCATGGGGGGGCATGGTGCCGATGTAGGCAAGTCGCAGCTCCCATTGTATCGTCAGGATGCTGGCATGTGTGCAGTTGATTGGCAGAACGAGCAGGGGAAGCCAGCCTCCCCGCGCAGCAGGTATCTGTCGCGGCTGCACATCCCCCTCACGCACCCCACCACCCCCGGCCCTCATCCAACCCCGCGCACAGGTGTTCAAGGCCCGCAAGACTGGCAGCCTGGCCACGGTGGCGGTGAAGCTCATCACCAAGCGCGGCAAGAATGAGCGAGACCTGCTGGGCTTGCGCCAGGAGATCGACATCCTGCGGACCATGCGCCACGAGCACATCATCCAGATGCTGGACGCCTTTGAGACGGCCACCGACTTCTGCGTGGTCACCGAGTTTGCCCAGGGTGCGGGGCGGGCTGGTCAGGAGTCTGGGAGGGAGGTGTGGCGTGCTGGCTGCCTCCTCGCCGCCCTCCCCCGCACGCTACCGCGTCTGTGCACACACACCTGCCTCTCCCTGGGTACCCCTGCGGCCCCCCGGCCACCGCTTCTCCTCTCCCACTCCCGCACCTGCCCAGGCGAGCTGTTCCAGATCCTGGAAGACGATCGGAGCCTGTCGGAGGGGGTGGTGAGGGACGTGGCGCGCCAGCTGGTGGCGGCCCTGCACTACCTCCACTCCCACCGCATCATCCACCGCGACATGAAGCCACAGAACATCCTGCTCTCCGCCGCCGGCACCGTAAAACTGTGCGACTTTGGCTTTGCGCGCAGCCTGTCGGCCCACACGCTGATGGTGACCAGCGTGAAGGGCACGCCGCTCTACATGGCGCCGGAGCTGGTGCAGGAACGGCCCTACAACCACACGGTGGGCTGGCGTGGGTTGGGTGGGTGGGCGAAGAAAGAGGGAAGTGTGGAGTCACGCAGATATTTCAGCACAGCGGATCCTGGATCTGCAGGGCGGCCTGAATTTTGCGCCAGGCACCCATCAAACACGCTCACCCAGCCGCATGAAAGCCCTCCTCCCACCCCCGGTCCCTGCAGGTGGACCTGTGGAGCCTGGGCGTCATCCTGTACGAGCTGTACGTGGGGCAGCCGCCCTTTTACACCACCTCCATCTACACCCTGATCAAGCAGATCGTGCGGGAGCCGGTGCGGTACCCCTCCTCGATGAGCCCCGACTTCAAGTCCTTCCTCAAGGTGATGGAATAGAGTTGGAGGAGACTCTGTGTTTGAGGCCACGCAGGAGCCCGTCCTCCCATGGCGATGAGGGTGGAGGCTGTCCTTCGATGGCAATGAGTTGCTTTCCATCAAAGGAGAGTGGCAGGCTCGGCCCCAGCTGGGCGTGTCCTGGATGCAGGGCTCTCCAGGAAGGAAAGAACTGGATTGCACGCACTGTGCTCTCATTGTGAGAGGCCAACAATGCCTCACCTCCCTCTTCCCACTCGCCTCCCTCCCCTCACCGCCATCCCACACCCTCCCACCCCGGCCTGGCAGGGCCTGCTGGAGAAGCAGCCATCCAGGAGGCTGGACTGGCCAGACCTGCTCCACCACCCCTTTGTTGCCCAGGCGGGGCCGCGCCGGGCCCCCGCGCCGCCCGAGCCGCCGGAGGTGCAACACGCCGTTCCCATCCCCGGCCCCGGGCCGGAGTCACACGCGGCAGAGACCAGCCCTTCGGCGGCGAGCGGGGCCACGGCGACCACGCCCGCCGCCCAGGCCACGCCCAAGCAGCTGCTGGTCACCCCGGCGGCCACAGCGCTACGCCCGGCAGCCGCCAGGAAGGTGCTGTCGCCCCGCGGCGACAATGGCCTGCCGGACAGGGTCCCCGGCGCGGTGGCCACCCGGTCCCCGCCCGGCCCGGCGGCGGACCCTGGCGCGGCGTGGGCGCCCTCCCCCGAGCGGCGGCAGCTGGACTTTGCGGCGGGGGGGAGGAGTGCCCCGTCCGACGAGAACGAGCCCGCGGCCAGAGCCGGGGCCAAAGGCAGCGCCGAGGGCGTCGGCCCCCGTGGGAGTGGTGGGGCCAGCGTGGAGGAGATGAGGTCCCGGGAGCGGGAGGCCAGCGGCGGGGAAGTCGGTGCCCAGGAACGGGAGACCGTTTCGGAGTCCGGGCATCGAGGACTCGGCGCCGAGGCGGGGCGCTCCAGTCATGTGCCCCACGCCGGAGGCGACACCCTCGAGCCGTCGCCGTCGTCGCCGGGGTCGAGGAGCGTCGCGGCAGCCCTGGCGGAGGTGCAGAGGACTGGCGACTCGGGGCAGGCCTGGCGCGAGCCTGGCGCTGTCAGTGCCATGCTGCGCACGCTGCGCTCCTCGGACGACCGCCCGCCGCCCGCGCTGCGTGCCGCGCTGCGCCTGAGCGCCCACGCGCTGCGCGCCGCGCCCTGCCCCCGCGCGCCGGAGCGGGTGGTCGCTGCGCTGGCAAACGTCGTGGCGGCGTTGTTCCGCCGCCTGGCGACGCAACAGCTGGCGCAGGGGGGTGGGGGGGGCGAGCGTGAGGAGCTCCTCAGGCTCGGTCTGGAGGCCGCCGAGCAGCTGCAGGGCCAGCCAGGTGAGCAGGGAGGATGATGGAGAGGAGGACGTTTTGCGATTGCCAGGGGCTCAACCCTGGCGTCTTCTGCACCATTCCGTGCCGTCCGTACACCCTGCAGCGTGGCACCGAGAGGGACTCCCCTCAATGCCGCACCGCCGTCCCTTGGTATGGATCGCCCCCTCCCTTCTTCCTGCATGGCACCCCAGATGTGGCGAGGCCCACGCTTCAGGCGCTGGTGCACCTGCTGGAGGGGCCCGACGGGGGCGACGATGAAATCTTGGCCGCCACGCTGCGCACACTGCGCAACCTGACAGACGAGCCCGGCGCAGACGCCGTCCGGCCGGCGTCGGACCACCGGGCGGGGGCGGCGGCGCTCTGGGGCCACGCCCTCGCGGCGGCGCTGTCCGGCCGGCGCCAGGGGGAGGAGGAGAGGGCGCACATGACGGGCACCCAGGGGGCCATGGGCGTGCTGTGGCGGGTCGCGGTGGCCGGGCCGGTGGGGACCGCGTCGGAGGACGCCGCGGCCGTCCTGTCGCGTGCGGGCGCCCTCCTCGGCGCCGACGTGCTCGCCGGGTCGGCGGGCGCGGAGGCGGGAGCGGAGGGCGTCGGCTGCGCGGCCCGGGCGCTGCTGGCGCGAGCGGCCCCGGGCGCGCTGGCCCTGCTGAGCACGCTGAGCGTGGCGTGCCCCGATGCGGTGCAGGCGGCGCTGCTGGCGCCGCCGGCCCTGGCCGCGTGGGAGGCCGCGGCGACAGCAGGTCGAGCCTGCCCCCAGCGCACGCTGACGCTGCTGGCGACGCTCGTCAGGAGTCAGAGAGCCGGCGGTCCAACAGCTGCAGGTCGGCACCCCACGCCCGACCTGCAGGCCTGCCTGCGAGGCCTGCAGCCCCTCCTCGTGCGCCTGATCCTGGACGGCAGGGACCGGGCTGGTGTCGCGTCGGCCTGCGCAGCCCTGACCGCCACATTGGAGGCGGCCACATCGTCTGCGTCAGATCCCACCGCCCCTCCCGCGCCCGAGCTGGTCACCCTGGCGACGCGCCTGCCGAGCACGGCCCCACTCCCAGGCCGCGCCAACCCCGACGACGGGGCGTCGGACGCCTGGGCCGCCCTCCTGTCGGAGCTGGCGGGCTCGGACCTCGGCGCCGAGGCCGACGCCGGCATCGTCGGCGCGGCAAGCTCGGCCCTGGTTCTGTGGGTTGACGCGGGCGTGGAGGGGCCCGGCACACTGAGGCATCCCGCTGGCACCGCCTCGAGCCCCGCCACGCGGCCACTGCTGACGGCGCTGCAGCGTTGCGTGGATCGCGGCGCGCCCCTCCCGCCATCGCTGGCGCCCGCGCTCGTCGCCTGCGCCGCCTCGGCGCGACATGCGTCCCCCGCCTCGCCTGCCTGGGACCTGCTCCTGGCGGCGCTGGCGTCCGGGGACGAGGGGGGCCATGCCCCGCTGCCTGGCGGCCTGCGACGCGCTGGTCCCGGCCGCGCTGGGCGCGCTGCGCGGCCTCGATCCGGGCACGGCGCCGCCCGCATCGGAGGCGTGCCCCGCCGTGGCGGCCGCGGGCGTGCTGGCGCGCATGGCGGTGGCCTCCGACGCGGCGGCCGCCGCCTTTGTCCGCGCCGGAGGGCTGGAGCCGGGCACGCTGGCGCGCCTGCTGCACCCCGCCGCCCCCGCCCCGCTGCTCGTCTCGGGGCTGTTGGTCACCAGCCAGCTGGCGCGCGCCAGCGCGCGTCACTTCCAGGCGCTGGCCGCCGCGCGCGTCGTGCGCCGCGCCGCGCCGCTGCTGGCCAGCGCCGAGGCCCCCGTGCGTGCGCGTGCCTGCAATCTGCTGGGCAACCTGTGCCGGCACAGTTCGCTGTTCTACCCGGATCTGCGCGAGGCGGGGGTGGTGCCAGGCCTCATCGCCCTCTGCTCCGACCGCGACAGGGCCGTGCGCAAGTTTGCCTGCTTCGCCGTGGGCAACGCGGGTGCGTGGCGCGTGTGTGGTGGGCGGGTCAGCAGACGGAGGGGCGGCGATGTCGGCCGCTCCCCGGTGCCGACGGAGCGGCGTGCAGGTGGTCGTCACCCTCGGTCCTTGTTTGGTCCCCGCAGCGACTCCCTCACCTCTCACACACGCACGCTCTCCCCATCAGAGAAACCGGTTCTCCCCTGCCCCCCGCCCCTCTGCGGCATACCCCCCCGGTCCTCCAGTTCCGCCCTCGACGACACACACCCTCCCCAACTTCCCTTGCGATCCCAGGCTTCCACGACGCCAGCCTCTACCCGCTGCTGCGCCCGGCCCTGGATCCGCTGGTGCAGCTGCTGCGGGACCCCGAGGACCGCACGCGCGCCAACGCGGCGGGGGCGCTGGGCAACCTCGTGCGCAACTCGCCCGAGCTCTGCGGCGGGCTGGTGGCGGCGGGGGCGCTGGAGGGCCTGCTCAGCATCGTGGCGCGGACCGACGTGGAGACGGCAGAGCCGCACTCCTCCCTCCAGATCGCGCTGTTCAGCCTGGGTGAGCGGGGGAGGAGGGAGGTGGGGGGAGGGGTCACCCTGCGTGCAAAGGGATGGGGGCGTTCAGCATGGCCAAGCAGCATGCAGCGCGAAGGGGGCCAGCAGGGCCGATCATGCTTCCCTGGTTGACTCGGCACCGGTCAGAAGTTTTGGGACTGGAGGCTGGGATGGGACACGGCCTCCTCATGGCAATCAGGGCATGTACACAGACGCCGCCATCCCAGAATCCTACGCCTTCACGCCTCGGGACCCCTCCGCACCCACACACCATTCAGGCAACATGTGCGCGCACGCCGCCTGCGCGGTGGCGCTGGTGCGGCTGGACTTGGGGGCCGTGCTGGGGCGCATGCTGGAGGCGAGGGCCGGCGACGCGGTGCTGCAGCGCTACGTCGCGCGCATCCATGCCAAGCTGGCGGCGCACGGGCCACTGCCGGGGCAGACGGGGGAGCGGGGGTAGCTGGTCGGTGCCGGATGAGCAAGCTTCTGGCGTCCTGCGCTCCCACCACCTGGACCTGTCCGTGCTGTTGCAAAGGGGGGTGGGCTGCCTGTTTGCGTTCCCTCCCCAGCTTGCGTCGTGCAGCAGATGAGGTCCAGGCCGAGAACATTCTGGCCCCATACCCCTCCAACTCTGCTGGCCTTTCTGGCGCTGGCCCCCGCATCCCCCCCTTCTTGGACCCTCCACGACCTGCTGCAAGCCCCTTCCCTTCGGTCGGCCCAACCCCGTCTCCTATCCACCCCGTCCCCAACGCATCCCGCCGTGCTGTCGATCGAGTTGGCGTGACCGGTCAGTCTCATTCCCAGCACATTGCATCGAAGGGGGGGGAGGGGAACACGGGAAGACGTGCACACCCGGGGCAGCACAGCTCCCGCCCGCGCTCACGTGAAGAAGAAGTGTGCGACGTCGCCCTGGCCAAAGGCGGTGCCGCAGCCGGGGCACTTGCGGTGGCGCGACTCTAGGTTGCGCTTGATGCACTGTGCGCAGAACATGTGGTAGCACTTGGTGATGATGACGTCCTTCTGGCGCTGGTGGCAGACGGAGCAGTTGACCATCTTGCGCAGCGCCGCCGCCTCCGCGGTCAGCGCCGCCAGCGCGTCTGGCGTCGACATGCCAACCTGGCCTGCCGCGCCGCCGCCGCCGGCGGTGGATGATGGGCCGGCCGCCGCGGCCGCCGCCAAGCTTGCCTCGGCCGCCGAGACCCTGGCCTCCAGCTCCGCGCGCGCCTCCAGCGCGGCGTCGCGCTCCGCGCCCAGCGCGCCCAGCGCGCCGCGCAGGCCCTCCCCCTCGGCGCGTAGCGCGGCGGCGTCGGCCTCGCGCTCGCGCGCGGCGCGCTCCGCGGCCGCGCCGCGGAGCACGGCCGCGC